ACACTGTTCATTGGTTGAAAACAAAGATGTAGGGACATTTTTTGAAATCTTTTATGACATGTTTCTCTTCCAAATAGCTAAATTAGAAACAATTAGGACAATTATGTCTTTGATATAACTGTTGGCCGTTTATCTGAGACATGATTGGTGCAAGTACACACACATAAAACAATGGTCTTTTCTCCACATGAACGTAAAACAAGGGTGAAGTATTAAAGTTTGAAACTAATTTACATTTTTTAAGGAATCCGAACTGGCTTTAAAAAAAAAAAAGGAAAAACATTTATTGCACGTGCATGAGTTTTTTTTTAAGTGACAAGAGCTCATTAAAAATATAGGGGACACAGTTTGTGACAAGCCCGAGTAAAGACCACGTGGTTTAAACACTAAAGTTTGAAATGGATCCTTTTAGGAAAAATCTCTCAAAGCTTTGCATGTTCTGCAGGCTCTGAAAGTTGCAACGATAAAATAACTCATGAGACAATTGTAATTGGACATGGAAAAATATAACAAAGTTAAAATTACAGGCCTCTTGTGTATGTTATATGTTTGTGTATGTTATATGTTTGTGTATGTTATATGTTTGTGTGTGTTATATGTTTGTGTATGTTATATGTTTGTGTATGTTATATGTTTGTGTATGTTATATGTTTGTGCGTCATGTCAAATACACTACGTTGACCTTAACAAACTGGACCAATACTAACGTGGGGTGTTGTGAGTGTGTTGTGAGTGTGTTGTGGAGTGAACTGAGGAGTGAAATGAGGAATGCTGAACGGAGAATGGAATAACAAAAGTTTTCTGTAATGTTTTAATGTGATCATGGAATAATTATTTTTTGTCAACAGCATACGGTGTAAGTACTAGAGATTCAAAGATAACAAGCTTTATTGAACAGGTGTAAAAGTGAGAGTACTCTGGGATGAGTACTCTGAGAAAAGTACTCTGAGAAAGTACTCTGAGATGAAATACCTCGCTGAAGGTACTGGGAGTCCCTCCCTCTGCTGTTTGTCCTGACAGTGATTCGGTCCAACCGCAGTGAGCTGTCGTTGGGCGGAGGACACCTTTGGTTTGTAATTCACATTTAGGGGAGTATAAAATTAGAAACATACATATTGTTAAGTCTGTATTTGGCTACAGCCTCTGCCCTGATGCCACACACCGTCTGTCAATGTAGTTATGTTTTGCCCAATTGGATTGATTGACAGGCTGCACAATGCGAAGAGAGGAAAGTGGGCGTTTCTTGTGTTCTAATGTTTGTTTTTCAGATGAAAGATAAACTGCACCTGCTTCAGGGATACCACGGTAGTATGGATCATGAGGAAAATGAGCCTCTACTTTGGCACCAAAGCCCACAATATGAATTGAGGACGATCCGGGAGGAACAACTGAAGATGATTGGAACAGTAATCTACACACATACAGATGCATGTTTTATACTTTGGACCACGACCAACAGAGGGAGTATAGTAATGTTATTGTCATAGGTGGTCATGGTCCTTAACCTTCTAAATCATTAGAAAGAAGTGTAAAACATATATTTACAAGACCAAATACATAATAGAAAAGGGCAGCCTAAAAAAAAGCAAAATGGGAAAATTATTAAGTAATTTTCGGAGTTGCCAAAATGGAATAAAATTCTATATTTGTCCCATAGGGGGTCATTCTAAATTTAGTGTTGTGCAAATTCAAAAGGAGAAATAATAGCGCTTATAACATCAAACAGATCTACTCTTTAAGATAATAATAGAATAGAATGAAATAGTCTGGAGCTATAATGTCATTGGATTCGAGGAGCTATAGGTTGAAAAGTCGCTAAGAAGAGGTGTCAGAATAAACAATAGTAATAATAGTTAGACTAGTGAATAATCAAAATAGTTCTATTGTGGAAATAAGTATCAATAAGGTCAAATTGTTCTAATAACTAAAGTAAAAAGGAATCAAATGGAGTCAGATTTTAGATGTTTCTGTTTTCCACATCTGTAGGAATTAGTGCAGATGTGTTTATAGAGAGTAGTATTAAAATGCAGACATAGAACGACAGGCGTTAACACAATTTTAAATCTAAAATAGCTCAAATATAACATTGCTCTTGACGCAGCCTCTGAGCTGCTCCATTGGAGAACAGGTTAAATGTTATTGTTTATTACAAACAGCTGATGTATTCACACATATTAAGTTTGGGACAACTCTTTAAACAGTTATAAGCAGCGGACAGAAGCCATGAATGTGCTTTTGTTTATTAAAATAATTAATTTCATAGCCTTATAATCGTGGAAAACGTTTTAAAATAGTTAAAATCCCTTTCAGGCAACTTGATTTAGATGTATGTCTTTAATATTGGAGAACGACTGTGTTGTTTTTGGAATTGTCTGAAATACAATACATAGAATAGTGATTTGCAGAACAAGAACCAGCCAATAAAAAATCGTCTATTGCCAATGCTATTGTTACAATCAGAACTCACAAATTGGGAATAGGCTTTGGCTCAAACTACTACCAAGATTTGGAGTCACAATAGAGTATAAAATAGATAGATGCTTTCAAAAATAGAGATTATTTTTAGACAGGGCTAATATCAAGCGGTAAAAGGACCATTTCCTTCATATTATGTCCAAAAGTATTTACTTTAAAGGTAGATGAAGTTCATTACAGTTTATGCACAGGTTTATTAGATACTGTCAAATTCGCTTGTTTCAAACATAGGTGAATGTTAACAATGCCAAAAGTTAATGAGATAGATTAGAAACAACAGAGATTCAAAAACATTTAAAAGCATTTTAATGTATTTGGGTATAGCACAAAAGTAGATATTTAGGTATTTTTTGAGAATTTTAAGAGCTGTCAATTTGTCAGCAACAGATTAGAGAATCAAAATACCGTTGTATAGGGACTAACCCCAGAGAAACCTGCTAAAATAGATTAGCTCCTGTACGGATAATACCAATTTGATTAACAATGTACATTTATCCCAAACGGTCTGAGAGAAGGAAGTGACAGCACTTCCTGGTTCAACAAAATGTGTTTGGAAAAATGAGCAAAGCCCCACAAAATGGCACAGAGCCACTGAGAATGACAGCAGTGGTCATCAAAGAGTTTTGTAAGGAATGTTTCGAATGTTGTTGTGTGTGTATTCTTTCTGTATTAACTCTTCACAGATAACGAGCCAGAACCAAGAACCAAGGCGATGATGGACGAGCTCCCCAGTCTCGGCACCCAGAAGGAATATTGAAAGATTGTGACCTAAATTGGTTTAATATAGGTCAACAGAGGGGAACTGTTGTATATTTTAATATTTGACCATTTGAACATCATAGCCAGAAAGACCTCTGTGCACTCAGGAAAACCCCAAGGACACAGGATAATCAGACATGAGTCATAAAGATAAAATGCTGTTTAAACAGGGCGAATTATTAACTTTAAATAATAAACATTTTGACGAGGACAAGAGTTCAGAACCTGAATCTTGAGGCAGACTGGGAGATTCACCAACTGCATTCTGACGCCTCCCAGTGGACAAGGGACGTCAGCACACCCGGAAACTCCACCCCTTGGACGCATAAGGATGACGTCATCGGAAGTCTCCCTCATGAGCCCCTGTGTGTTTTTTTTGAGGTCAGACAGGACAGGGCACGGACAGGGGAAGAGCAGGCCTAGAATAGGAGCACTTTTGTTGAACATTCTGTATCTGATTGTAAAGATAATTAAATGCAGATGTTAAACGTGAAGATCTCTTGTCTCGCTCTTGCATCGACTTTGGATACGTCAGTCAAAGGGAATTATTGACTTCACATATCATGAGAATATTTTTCCTTTTCCAAATATTTTGTAGCGGTCAGGGCCAGAGCAGAATAGAAAAGCCTAGAGGACAGTCCAGGAATTACCATGTGAGTCAAGTGAGGGTGATGTTAGGGTCAGCACTAGATCATATACGGAATCGGGACGGAAGCGGAAGTAAATATAACAAACTACCTATTCATGCCTAAACTTAACCAGCCATTCCCATAAAATAACCCCAACCCAGCCTTAACCTTCTTACTCAGACGCCTAAAACTTAACCAGTCAACATTTAAGGACTCATTAGTCTAAAACTAATTTGAAAGTACGAGTGTTACTTCCGGTTTCGTCCCGATTCTGTATATGATCTAGTGCCGACCGTGATGTTAGTGGGAATGATGAAGACAGCTGTGACAGTGCAGTTTAATGTAGAAGGAGAAGAACATGCTGAGGAATTTGAGCTGAATGATGAGGCTGAGGGAGCTGGTGCTGTCCGACTTGTCTGCAAAGCCAGAGATTATAAGTTTGAGGGACAATTTGCTCTTTACTTTTTAGGAGAGTGGTAGGAGAAGATTGAGGGAGGAGCCCCAATAGATTTCTTCATTCACCAAATTCCGAATGAGTTGATTGATGACATAATGGTCAACTCAGACCTCTATGCGTTGCAAAATGGAAAATAACGACTGGGCATTGCACTGGGTGAACTGAAGAACTTTCTAGGGATTCATTTGGTCATGTCATACTAAAATACCTAAGATGTACAAGTCTATACAGAATTGAAAGTCTGGTCTTAGTTCCATGCTGATTAGTACCAGCCAAGTTCATTATAGTAGTTCAGTCATTTAGTCAGTGCAACACATGTGTTTTTCTTTGGTTAATGTTTCAGACAACACATTTTACAGTTTTGCAATGTGTTAAAATAAGAAAAATGCAATGCTAAAGATAAAATCAAAATGTCCTATGGTATTTACAGTATTCTTATTCCATGACTCAAATGCACGTTGTCCACTCTAGTGGACGTGTCACCAACTTCATGGAGAATTCATGTTTTTTCAAAATTAAAATATTTTCTATCTTTTCATGCCTCAGGAGTATTTAAAATACTTGAAAAAATCTTGAAGAAGGCTATCATAATTCATGCATGAAAGGGTTAATAAAAGTAAAATAAAAACACAGCAAAAGAGCAAAACATATGTACATTTAAACTTCAAGAGTCCTCTTCTTCAACAATCCGAAGCTTCTTCATATGCCCGGTCCAAGAAGAATTTTACCGGCCCAAGCTGCTTCTCCTTTGGCACCCTTCGGGTTGCAGCGGCCATTTGCGCACGAAACAGTGCCTCGTCGTCGGCCTCGGCCCGGAGAGCTTCCTGGGTTTCAAGCCGACGCTTTTCTAGTTTTTGCAGCTCTTGCATCCACCATGTCTGTCCGTCCGGCATCTTCCTCTTCAACGAGGAGCGTGGTGGCCTGAGCAAAGCCGTGGGGGGCGGTGTACTGCTCCGGCTAGGCTCACCCATGCACTCAGAGCTGTGGTCATTCACCTCCAAAGGGCTGGGGGACGGCCCCCCCGAAGAGCTGGTGGACGGCCCCCCAAAGGAGCTGGTGGACGGCCCCCCAAGGAGGTGGTGGATGGCCCCCCCCGGGTTCCGCAGAGGTGGATAGTGGTCTGTTGGAGGGCTGTTGCACAAACACAAAGGAAAAATGTCAGATATCAAATATCATTTTTGCTAGCTAATTGGCTGCATGTTTTCAAAAATGTCTTTGAGTCATTAATTGATTAATTTAATTTGTTACGTAAAAATAACCGCTGCATGGACAGAATTTGACTTGAATCTAGTATATTTCACTCTAGCAGGCAAAAAATTGGCTGCACTACAACAATAGAGTTACATCCCATTCACGTTGACCGGAAGACAAATTCAAAATACATCATGGATGTTCTGTAACAACCAACACTTTTGTATAGTATTCTGATTTTGCATTCGACATTTTGTTTTAGTCAGCTGCAAATATGGCTTGACCCCAAAAAAATTCTAACAAAAGGTTTCTCAGTGGGTTACAGTAGTATCAGATGTAATTAAAAACATACTAAAAGTTTACCAAAGTTTGACTCTGAGAAAGGCCTCAAAGTGGTGGCCATCAGGTCCTTAAAATGACCATTACTCCTTTGTATTTCTCCTAGACCAGAAATACTGGTGTCTGATATCTGTTTTGGTCATATACTGTAATATTCTAATTAGTATATTTACATGAAAAATAAGTGATTACAAGTACAATTATATATTAAAGTAATTGGTAACAAGCATATGTATGCAGAAAAGAAGTACAATTTCCCTTGGGTAATCTCATATTTCTCTTTTATCATATAGTTTTTTCCTAGTGTCCCCTTGTGTTTTTTTTATATAAATATTTTTATAAATTTTGTAATGTGTTTTGTTAATAGCCTTTATTTTTTATATATATATATTTTTTATTATTTATATTTTTTCTATTTTCTTCAGTTGTTTCCTCTTGTGGAAGGAGCCCGAGCTCGTGAGGGAGGTTGAGCGATACCAACTAGAGATAGTCGGCCTCACCTCCACACACAGCTTGGGCTCTGGAACCCAACTCCTTGAGAGGGGTTGGACGCTCCACTTTTCTGGTGTTTCTCGCGGGGAGAGGCGGCAAGCGGGGGTGGCCATACTCATTGCCCCCCATCTCAGCCGTGGAGTTCTCTCCGGTGAATGAGAGGGTCGCGTCCCTCCACCTTCGGGCGGGGGACAAGTCTCTCACTGTTGTGACGGCCTACGGGCCTAACAGCAGTGCAGAGTACTCGGCCTTCTTGGAGTCCTTGGGAGGGGTACTGGACGGTGCACCGCCCGGGGACTCCGTTATTCTCCTGGGGGGACTTCAACACCCATGTGGGAAATGCCAGTGACACTTGGAGAGGGGTGATCGGGAAGAGCGGCCCCCCTGATCTGAACCCGAGCGGTGTTCAGTTGTTGGACTTCTGTGCCAGTCACGGCCTGTCCATCACGAACACCATGTTCAAGCACAAGGGTGTCCACCAGTGCACGTGGCACCAGGACACCCTAGGCCGGAAGTCGATGATCGACTATGTTGTCGTATCATCTGACCTTCGACCGCGTGTCTCGGACACTCGATCACCGATCACCACCTGGTCATGAGTTGGATCCGCTAGCAGGGGAAAAAGCCGGTCAGACCTGGCAGGCCCAAGCGTGTAGTGAGGATTTGCTAGGAACGTCTCGCTGAGCCCCCTGTCAGACGGACTTTCAATTCACACCTCCGGGAGAGCTTCTCCCAGGTCCCAGAGGAGAGGGATATCCAAGGTCTCTGGTGATGGTCGCGGTGGCAACCCCCGAACCCGGTGGTGGACACCGGCAGTAAGGGATGCTGTCAGGCTGAAGAAGGAGTCCTATCGAGCCATGATGGTTCGGGGGCCTCCTGAGGCAGCTGTCCAGTACCGGCAGGCCAAGCGTGCCGCGGCCCGGGCTGTTGCAGAGGCAAAACCCCGGGACTGGGAGGAGTTCGGAGAGTCCATGGAGCATGACTATCGATCGGCCTCGAAGAGATTCTGGCAAACCGTCCGGCGCCTTTGGAGGGGGAAGCAGTTCTTTGCCAACACCGTGTACGGTGCGGGGGGAGAGCTGCTGACCTCGACTGGGGATATTGAACGGGCAGTGGAAGGAACACTATCAGGTTCTCCTCAATCCCCCCATCACGTCCTCAGAGAGGCTGAGGATGTTGGGGCGGATACTTCCATCTCCCTGGCGGAGGTCACCAAGGTGGTTGGCAGCCTCCTTCGTTTTTTTCCGTCAAATTAAATTGGTCTGAAAAAAATATCACACAATGAAATGGTTGATTATAAAAATAATATACAGTAATACATATACGTGCGTATCTGTTATATATATATCTATAAATATATATAATAATTTGAATATCATTGTATTTATATGATTATATAAATAAAAAGTAATATAATCACGAGCGGGCCTTGAACGTGCCGTGGCCCAAGCTACTTGAGAGCTCCGCAAATGAATCAAGGCAATGGGACGTAGCTGACCTCACTCGCAAATGAAGACGCGGCCAAGTTAGCAATGGTAACACGGAGGTGAAGGTTTCTGAAAAGTGCACAGAGCTTTTGAAAAGGAGAAGAGGAGAAGGAAAATGTAATCCCGATCGGAGCAATAACAGGCAGCAGCCAACCGGTGGGCTGGGCGCGTTACCAGAGGAAAGGTAGGACATAATTAACGTTTACCAAACGAAATGCTTTTTTATTTAACGGAATGTACAAAATGGGCGACAGTAGCTCAGTTGGTAGAGCAGTGGCCTTTGAGCCTGGAGGTCGTGAGTTCGATTCCCACCATGGGACCTACTCCAACTGCTCCCACTGATGTCTACTGTCGTTGTGTCCTTGGGCAAGACACTTAACCCCACGTTGCCTGAAGCCCCCGCTGAAAGACCAAGGCTGTTTCACCGCTGACGGAGTAGCCATCTTCCTGTGGACTCACCCCCTGCAGAAGATCAGCGAGGGACTGGTGCTATGAGCATTGGGTGGCAGCTCTCATTGCCAACCCCCTGACCCAGAAATGGACAATAAAGGGCTTGAAAATGAATGAATGTACAAAATGGACTTTGCTGTGACTGGGAATGGGGACAAACATGTCTTTGTGAGCTTTTGATAATGTCTTGTTTGCGATCCGCATGCAAAACTCGGTGTGATATAAAAGAGCCAATCAACGAGAGCGAACAGAAGAAACTTTCTGAAGAAAGGTGTAGTGTGTTTGCGCGTCTTATTCATTTGTCAAAGCTAGCCTAGCATGTACGCACCATCACAATCATGGATTTGTTGTTTATGGAAGAAGGAGCACAAGTTTCAATTGACCACGGAGTGAAAAATAAATGGAGGCGGGCATACAGTAGCTTGATGAGGAGACGATGGGATTCTGTGGCGGTCATGTTGCAAAAAGAAGGTGGCCGGTGCTTGTGCGTACCATTGACTGTATATGTGCGTTCTTCGCCATTAAAAACTGTATATGGGAGTAATGAGAAAACGGTTTTGATTCGCCACCAGCCCGAAACTGCATGAGGCAGCTGTTCATGCACTTTCCCACACTTCATCTTTACCTTCAGCTATAGCGACAACTGAGACTAGGCTTGCTCCGGCGGACCGTGTCCGTGACCTAAAACTAAGTCTGTGGCTTTATCCTAGAAAATAACTTGTCGTTCAGAATATCACTACCGCTGTTAGATTTAATTAAATCATTTGCGGTTGATCAGCGTGCACTGTGCACTAGCCACCAAGTTGATCAGGAAACCTTTTTCTTAAACATTGACGTGTCCACAAACAAAAATGTGGACAGAATTTTGAATGTCCTTTTGCGATATTTTGTCGAGGAAAGAGCCAAAGTGTTGACGCTCCATCTTTCCTCAAGTAAAGCCAATGTTGCGGATGCAACTACTCTCACTAATATTCTGTCAAAAAGTTGACAAGTTGCTTGATCTACTTGTTGTAATTTCACATCAAAATACAGCAGTTTAAATGATCTGAAGAATTCATTTGATCTGTATACAATATACAATATATTTTATACAATAATATAATGTAATTAAAAGTATAACTTGGTCCTGCATATGACTGTGATTTACATGTGATAAATTTCCATGAGAAAATTTTCAGTCAAATCTTTTTTTTTGCTTTATCCCCTGGGCTAATGCTATGTCAGCAAACCACGGGCAACCAACACACGTCTGTGCGAAGGTTTATCTAAATGGGCTTGACATAAGGACATAAAAACAGCCACGCATAAGTTTTATTCAAGACTAAACTTGTGAAGATATTTGAAGACGATTTTGATGAATGCTTCGCAGCCTTTTTCCCCGAGCCACGGCCGTGAATGCACAGAACTCATGTTAGCTTGAACCACTCACCTTGGACCCGGAGCGAACACGTAACATGTGTCTGTGGTACGTACCTGCATTATGCTTTACTGTTGAGTTATGAACACGACTGTTATGATACAATACAGGCGTTAGATCTGCCACAGACGTTTGTTTGAAACCTTGTTATCTGCCGTGATTAAACTCAGTTGTCCCGAAAAGCTAAGATAATGCTAACGCTAGACCATCCAGTCCATTGAGATCGTGTTTGATCAAGAAAAATCCTATTCTTTTTGTTTTTAAGGAGAAATAACCCCACAGATTAAATATTAAAGCTACACAGAGAAAACAAAAGTTTTCATGGAGACAGCAGCTGTAGTATGCTAACCATCGTGCTAACACCTGTATGTATTGATATTAGATAGATTGTATTTATAATTCTTAATCTCAAACTAAGACTGGGAATAATGTACATTTATTTGCATTTACTGGATATATTAGACATATATGACATTACAGAATCGGCTAAGGCTTATTATAAAGCACTTTTCGTACAATAGTCTGGTAAATATACGTATAGTAAGATAAGCACATTATACAGATGTTACTTTTGTCTTTAATAAAATACATTTGCAGATGACAAAGTCCCACTTCCATAAAGACAGCTTTTAAGTGGTTAGCCATGCTTCTAAGTGGTTATTTGAGTGAATATTTCTATTCTATTATTCTTCTGTGAAGCTTATACCTCTTTAATATTAAATACTGGAAGGTATTTTATTTTTACCAGTTTGTGG